CCCTTAATTGGGTTAAGTGCTTTGGTGCTTTGTGACATTATAATGAATCTCCATGCACGCCCCCAGCTTCCTGCTGCTGGTGTGATTTTTTGGTCCTAAACATGACCACCTTTAAATAAAACTGTTTAATTTTTAGTCAAGCGAAGAATATCTAGAATTATTCACTTGTACATTTTCAGCCCAGAGAAACTCAGGTGTGGGGCGCACCTTTTTTGCCATTATACTCCATCCATCGATGTCTACCCACTGTCAGCCTCCCTCAAGACTTGGGAGCAGGAATCTATCGTCAAAATATGGATCTTGAATACTTGTGCAACCCCCCCACCAACATTCCTTTCAATATGGGCAATATTTGCGAAAATACCATGAGTTATCGCTCCTTATGTGCGAAAATACTATGAGTTATCGCTTACATAAAACACCCAGTGTCCGCAATGACATTAAACTATTACCTATCATTTATATATCATTTGTATAGGATTGGTCACCTATAAATATATAAATAAAATATTCCGGATATCTAAAGACATGCTACTCCGAATTGACACAGTGATTGTCCACATATAAGATCTCCAAGAGCACGGCAGTCTTTGACTGTAAACTGCTGGTGAAAATAGATCTTTACTTAGCAGTCCACAATAGATAATTCAATTTTTAGGGAGTTATTTTAGCACACACAATGGGATATTGGGAACCCTTTTACCCAGAAGCGGTCTCAGAATTACTACATATTGTGCAACAATTAGTAATTTATTTGCTATGGGATGCCTAAACCACCTTTTCCCCAAAAAGTTATAAGGCTTTTTCTCCCACCCACCCTCCCTTACTTTTGTGCCCCCCAGTCTTGTTTTAACTCGCTCATGCCGCGTCGGTTCTGGGAGGAACCTGGCAAGGGGGAGGTAATGTAGGATACAGTGAGTATGTATGAGCTTATCTGAAGACGTGCGCATAAGAAGTGCAGCACTCAAAGATATATAGCAAGTACCGAGCGCATGTCCTATTCGAAGAGTCGAAAAGGATCCGTGAAGCAATTAGGACCATATGTCCAAAGACGAGCGTGAGCAAGTCAAGGATGATCCAAGCAGCGCCAAAGGATCACATTTTCAAACCTTCCATTTTTCAACTTTTGCCTACATAGCATGCCAACCTAAAGGGCAATCGAGAGACCATTGCCAACAAGTATGAACAGCGTTGGGGAACGCATCTACTTGCATACAACAATGCAAACATGGCAGCTATTCTATATAAAATCCTAAAAAGACATAGGCAACCTTTTGGGTACAAGACACTATCTTTGGAACAGCCCTCTGACCAAGGGCATCCTATCATTTGGCAGCTTTGAGCGCCATCATGGACCTGGGCAAGTCGTTGAAACTACACCACTATGACAGCTTTGAGCGCCACTAAATGTATGACATCATCACGGATCATGGATCAACCAAGATCACGATCGATCAGAAAGTCTATCATGACTCGATTGACGGATCAAACATGATCACAATCGATCAAAATATGTCATACCTTCAAACACGTGACTAGGCGCCCATAGAATCTTATCTTATCGATGTCAAAAAAACATATACTGGTCGAGATTCGAACTTAGTACTTCACCGTTCAAGTGGCTTAGGGGTTAAGCCATGATGTTTAAGTCTCCCAGAGATCACCTGACACATCCTCAGGTCCCGCTCGACCCCCAACGAGCACAGGGTCGAATCTCAGTGGAGGCAAACAATATCATGACATAATTTCTGACTCGACAGCTGTAACACAGAAGCACGAGATCATGACCAAGGACCGAGGATAAGGAGATTGCATCCGCAATCAAAAACTATGTTTTTGTGTCTATAACCCTTACTTTTTAAACGCAATGATCAAGTCAATGTGTCACCACCAACGACCTTGGCACGTCGTTAAACTGTTCAAATTTTGACAGCTTTGAGCGTCACGAATGACCAAGTGCATGTCTTTAAACTGCAAGCCCTTTTGCACACTATCTTGGGCAACAGAAGCCAATAGCGCTGTCTGCGATGTCAGACATCTAGGACCAAGAACTGTTAGCCACACAAGTGCACCATTTACCTGAGCAAGTCATTAAACTGCATCACCCCTTTTTGCTGCTAGCAAAAGTCTTAGATGCCATTCACACAAACACACCCTGCCATTCCACCCTGGAAGTCAGAACCTGAAGCGAGGGTACTATTTACCATAGCATTTATTCAGTTCATCCGGAGTCTGAACCTTGAAGCGGGGGTAGTGTCACAGTATTAAGTGGCACCTTTCTTTTTGCACCATTAAAGTCCTCATTTGAGTGGTTAT